TATAATTTCATAACATATGGTTCATTCGATACGGAACGTTGCAGTGAAGGCTTACTTTACATCGTTCAGAAACCAAAGGACTTCAATACAAAGAGATATAAGATAGGAAGAACATTTAATATAACTCAAAGATATGACAATATAGTCAATAGAGTTAAGGTTGCGTTCGTTAACGATATGAGAGCTGCTGAAACAGAACTACTTGAAAAGTTTGAGAAGATGTATGGTGCTCCCACGAAAGGTAGGGAAACGTTTGAAGTAGATGAGATAGATAAAGCTATAAAATTATTTGACGAAGTTGCTGAAAAATACATGTAAAGCGTTTATTTTTGGTCTTTTATACAAGATAGAAAATAACGCTAATTTTATTTTTTTTTATTTTTTTATTTTGTATGTAAAGACAGATATGTCAACAACAGAGAACACAACAACAGTTATAGTCCATGAAGCTATAAATGAAGAATACGAGTACATACAGTATAACAAACAGTTACGTCTCATTCGTTCGGTCAAAGACGATATGTACCAAATGCAAAGTATTTTGACAGCATGTTATGCTCCAGATACTAAGAAACCACAAGACTGGTTTAGGAACCAAAGCACACAAGAACTTTTGAGCGAAGCACAGCGAGACATACTTTTTTCTGAAAACAGTGAAGAACAGCGACTACGAGAAAAACCGCAGTCGCCAAAACTCTATGAAAATCGTGAAAAATTGCCAAATGGTTTGAGAGGATATTATGTTCATAGACTTCTTGTAAATAATGTGGCACAATGGGCTTCAGCTCGCTATTCATGGTATGTCTGTAAACTTCTTGACGAAATTCATAGACAAGAACGTGAAGAGATGGAAAAGAAACTTCAAGCAAAAGATGAAGTCATTGAAGCAAAAGACAAAACCATACAGAAAAGAATACCACGTTCGGTACCAAAAGGAAAGGAAAAGAACTATAAGTATATGATTTATACTGAAGAGATGGAAAATGAAGAAGACAGAGATATGGTTATGTTGCATTTAGTCAGAAGAAACAACAAAAGCTTTTACGACCTTGCTAAGATTTACAAATCTGACAGAAATTGGTTCTATCGCGAAAACTTACCGATTTCAATGACACCGAATGAAGATGTTAAACAGATAGTTCAAGATACGTTACCTCAAACACACTATGATATGAAAGGTTGTACAATACTTACCTTCAAAGAAGATTTGCCATTGTTAAAGGAAAAAATAACAGAGTATTTCGACAACTTCAAACAAGTAGGGTAAATTTCAATCTTTATTTTTACGCTTGACCTTTACATTCTGCCTGAGGAAGTCTTTAACAAGCTCGTTAATTTCAATTAGATAAATTGCTTCGTCTAAGGGGTCAAGCTCCATACTGAGTCAGTACAATGTTGTACTTTTTCAAGACAATATTGTACTTTTTCAAGACAATGTTGTACTTTTTCAAGACAATGTTGTACTTTTTCAAGACAATATTGTACTTTTTCAGAACAATGTTGTACTTTTTCAGAACAATGTTGTATAAATTCAGTACAATGTCTCTCAAATTTGAGTACAGCTGTACTTTTTCAGAACAAGTCTTGAACTTTTTCAGAACAATGTTGTACTTTTTCAGAACAATGTTGTACTTTTTCAAGACAATGTTGTACTTTTTCAAGACAATGTTGTACTTTTTCAAGACAATGTTGTACTTTTTCAAGACAATGTTGTACTTTTTCAAGACAATGTTGTACTTTTTCAAGACAATATTATATTGTTTCAGAACAAAGACGGTTAAGACACAAACGAATGTCCGACGTTCCTCTTCCTGAATGTCTTCCAAAGCCAGAAGAACCGACAGCCCCAGCACCACAACAGACTAAGACTCAAACTCTTACATTTTTCAAGCTTGACTTTTTACAATTTGAACTTTGTTCGCGTAGATGTGAATTCTGAAAGAAGTATGAGGGTCTTGTATGACTTTGTACTTCTCCCATAGTTCATGTCTGTCAAACTTACCTGCCATGGACTCTTTCATAAGTTCCATGAAATCGTCTTCGGACAATCCAGGGAAAAGTATGATATCAGTAAGTATTCTTTTAACATCCTTACTTAAACTCTTGGCTGTCTGTACACAAATGACAACTGAAATGTTAAAGTGTCTGAGCTTCTTAAGAATTCGACACATGTCTTGTTCTCTATTCTTTAACAAAGGATGAGAAGCAAAGTCATCTAAGATAAGAAGACACCTATGAGGGTAAGTCTTCCAATCGTAAGATTGCAATTTCTTCGAAATGTATTCTATCTCTTTCTGTTTGTTTCTGAAGTGTTTCTTCTCTAATATTCTCTGCATTTCCTCATTTGGGTCTTTGAACTTAGAATTTATATACTCATTTATAGCATTGTACTTCAAAACTCTTCTTTGGTACTTCTTTATCCAATCTAACAACTCAGAGTCTTTTATACATACTAACTTAGACTTCTTTATAATATCTTTGAACGAATTTACGGTTTGATCGAATTGACCAGAAGTACTACAAATGACTACTAACTCATAGAATGGGTTCTTCTCATCTAGTTCTTGTTGTTGTGCAGCCATTTTAAGATAAGTGAAAGTCTTACCCGACCCAGGTGGTGCAATTAGACCTGTTATACCATTCTGAGCAAATAAGAACTTGTCATGTATGGGTTTTATCTGAGCATTTTCTAACTTTCTCTTGTTCTTCTTCAAAACATTCTCAAATTTCTTGTCAATGTCAGCAAACTTTTTTTCTAACATATTTTTAGAAAAATTAAAATTTTTATCTTTTAGAAAATGTCTAGCGATTTCGCTATCTATATTCGAGACAAGCTTTTCGACTCTAAAACTTCTGTCGACCATAAAATCTTACATAGTGTAAACAAGAAAGGTGAATTTGTTCTAAAGTTCTGTTTCTGGGAATATGACAAGAACCATAAAACATTACAAAGAGCAGTCTTAAAATTTGTCAATGACAGACTTGTTGACAGAGATGACGCCGATTGGAAAGATGAAGTCCAACAAAAGTTCTTAGAATGCAAAGAAGACACATGCGCTGTTCTTGAAGATGAAATAGAAAACAGAATAGAAGAGCTATTAAAGGACAAAGAACTTTTACATAAATATGGTTGCGCCAAATTTGACATAACTCCACCAGAGAAGAAGAAGAAGAGAGAAAAGAAAGAAAAGAAAGTAGAAGAAAAGAAAGTAGAAGAAGAGAAGAAAGAACCAGAGCCAGTTCCAGAGAAGAAATTTGACATGTAAAAATAAAATTTTATTTTTAGAACATTTCTGGGTCAATGTCAATGTTCTCTTCCTCTTTAGGAGCAAACACTGGCTTAGACTCTAAAATCTTTTTACCTAATTTACCTTGAACTTCAACTATCTTAGACTCATAATATTCATAGTCGTCTGCTTTCTTTGGTTCATAAGGTATAACAAGTTTGTATGCTTTGCCTTCTTTAAGGTTTGAGAACCTTCTGTCAAAATTTTCTTTGACTGCTAACAAACCTTCTATGTCTAAGTCTTCAAATTTCGCACCATTTTTAGTCACAATAGCAAACTTAACTGGTTCGATGTTCCAAACTTTGTCAAATGAAGACTTTTCAAAATGGTAGAAGTAAACATTCAAATATATGAATGGGTCTAGTTCTTCTTTGACTTCTGACATGTACTTGTTGACTGAAATATATTTCGTCATCTTTTCTATCGGATAAAAAAATATTTTTTTAAATTTACTCAGAAAAATTTTTCTTTGTATATACGCCGTTCTGAACATCTAAAAGATTTTTGACATTTGCCAAGAATGTTCGTTTAGACGCTGTCATATAACCATACTCTTGACAATACTGTTTATATTCATCGTACAATGACCTTTCATCTAAACACTCAAAGTTAGTCTCATCTATAAACAGTTCATATACACTCTTGTTTGCTTCTAACAATGTTTGTCTTTCTTCGGTATGTGGAATTTGTCTTGGATTGAACTTAGAAATATCTAATGTCATGAAATATGAGAACAAGTGGTTGTAAAAGTTAGGTGTCAAAGTTTCTGCTAAGTCGTCAAAATATTCTGTATCTTGCATATGAGAATCTGACGTTCTGACAACTACATATCTTCTGTCAGAACTTTCTAACTTCATCGGAACAGCGTTGTTTGAAACCATGATGAAGTTTGCAACATTTTCACAAACTCTTTGGTCTTTATATTTTCTTTCAACAACTCCAACTTTGTCTGTTATAAGACTCTTCAAAGCATCTGAGTTCAAAACTTTTGTTGTATCTATACTTTGAAGTTCGTTACATACTATAAGTTTCATATTCTCTATTGAAGAGTTAAATTTACCGCAGATGTTTTCTAAGTTTGTCATATTAGGGTTCGAATAGCCCTCTAACAGTTTGCACAAAATATCTGTAAAGAAAGTGTTCTTACCAGTTCCTTGTTTTCCAATTATAATGAGAGCAGTTTCATTTTTAGCACTTGGATATTGTAAGATGTTTGCAAACCAACATAAGATATACTCATAGACTCTTTCGTTTCCATTGCATATAATTTCTTTGACATGGTCTAACCAAGCTTCTATAATATTTTCTTTCCATTCTACTTGTTCGTATTTATATCCAGTGAAGATAGAATAGAAGTTTGGAGAAGGTGTATAAACTTTATACCTCGAACTGAAAAATCTTCTAACTTTGACAATAAGATATCCCAAGCATCTAACATCTTCATACCAACTTGTACGACTTTTATTTTCTTAAGTTTCTGTCTACATTCTTGTTCTGAAACTATGGTTGCTCTTGGTTTGTTAAAGACAACATCCCATTCTTTCATGACATAACATTCTGGGGCAGAGTCGACATAAATGACTAAACGTTTCAAATTCTCGACTGCTTTGTTATAGTCTCGAAATGGACACATATTTCTGAATGCTTGGAAGTCATAAAAATCTGAAACATCTATTCTGTACATTTTTATAAAAATAAAAAAAAATATTTTTTTTATTCTTGACTTTGTTGTTGCATTTGTTGCATTTGTTGTTCTTGAGCTATTTGTTGTTGAAGTTGTTCTTGTAATACAATACTTTCACCAGTTGCATCTTCCAATTCGAAACTTTCTGCCGTCATTGACAAATACATAGGACATAAAAGTTTTACAGGAACAAAGTTTGCGTCGACTAAGGTTAAGTTTATGTTTGCTAAAGTGTTTGAGTTTACTAAAGCTGAAAACTCTGCATTCGAATGAACAATAGGCAAACCAGCAGAGAAAGTGTTGTTTATACGCATGAGTATCTTTTGGTCATAGTAGTTTCTGTCGACATTCGAATACACTTTGAACCTAAGTTTGAAACAATATATAAAATAGGTGTACTTAAAGTCAATGGAACAGACAAACCTTGTATGACACCTTTTCCTGTTATAGGAAACTGTTGGTAGTAAAAACCAGATATAAGTTTTGTATTATAGCTCATATCGTTTATACTAAACTCAGTCGGACATCCAAACATAATGAAACCTGCTCTAGTTGCAGCACATGTTACATCCGTCCTTAAAGTATTAAATAAGTCAACAAAACCTGTTGGTGGTATATCTGAGTAAGTATCTTCAAAGAAGTATTTTTTACCATTCACAACAACAAAGTCTTCTGGTGTCAAAAGAGCAAAACAGGCTTTAGTCGTCATTGTGTTTAAGTTAGTTTACAATATCGTCCTTGAGGACTTTGTAAGTTTGTTGTTATAGAATTATATGACTCAGGGTTTTTAGTCGTAATAGTATAAACCATTATGTCTTCTGCCATTTACTTAGCAAATAAATTTTAATGAAATGTTGTGGTCGTCAAATATTTTTATGACGTCTGGGAAACTATACTTTAAGTTCAACGTTTCACCTCCTTTCATAACGTATATCTTGTCAATGACATTATATGAAACACCACAGCAAGCAATGTCGGGTTCTATTTCTTTGATGTTTATATCGTCTGCCTCTGTCAAAAGTTTCAATAGTTCTTTCAAAACTTCATGAGGTGCAATGACATATGAGTTCACTTTTACAGGGTTGTGTTCGACCAAGTTTAACATTATACCCAAAGCTTGACAAATCTTCTCCTGAGTTTTAAGTTTGTCTTTAAGTTGTTGGTAGTCGTTTCGAATATCTGCAACAGAACTTAAGTCTCTGCTAACTTCAGGATATGTTGGTTGTTCTTTTACAGGAACTATTGTTATACCATCTTCGTCTTCGTATGGTTTCCCCACTTCAACATCTCTTTCTTTGACATTGACAACAACACTTTGACTGTTTGTTTGAGTTGGTGAATTTAACTTCACATCTGCCATCGCCATTAAACCTTTTGAAACACTTACGCTTCTATTTTTCGGAAATGACATTTTACTTAGAATAAAAAGATGGACGTATTTGAGTATCTCTTCGAATTGAAGCAAAACAAAGTTTACACACACAAACAATACAAGTTCATTGATAGAATAGTTCTTTATACAAACAATGGAAAATGTTATAGAATAGCAGTCTTTGCTGAACCAAAATATTTTCATAAAGCAAAGAAAGTTGGTATAACGAATGGTGAAAGTTCTTGAAGCAGACAAAAATATAACAACAAAACTGACGATATTTCTAAAGGTAAGTTTTAATACAATTATATGTCAAAACTGGCGTACTGTCAATATTTGACGGAGAGAAGTCAGTTCAAGAACAACTTACTGACCTGCTGCCAAAATCTGCTCGATGGAAGCTGTCGTTATGCCAATCTGAGGAGCCCCAGCAGGTTTCATCGAACGAATCTTCAAAAGAGCATCTTCCGTGAAAAGTGCTATTGGTTTTGTAAACTTCTTTGCTTTCAATTCATTTGGACCGTCTCTGTCACCAGTATATTGTATTTGAACTGTACCAACAGTTGAAATACCACCCATAAAGTCTTCTGAGTCAGCAAATGGAATGCCAAGCCAAAAGTTTGAACGGTCTCCATTTGTATATTGAGTTTTTTGACCTCCTGTATGAGTCCATACTTTCACATATGGCATAATAGAACTTTGCATTTCAGGGTTAATGGTTGTTGTGAAGTTGTTGTTAAAGTTCATAGCATCTAATGTCAAGTTGTATGACCTCATATCCTCAACTGTAGAATATTCTTCTCTTGGATAATATTTGCCATCTATGTTTATATGGTATTTAATACCAGGGTTGTAGAAGCAAGAATAGTCATTTATAGTTCGTCTGAACAGTACAAACATAGTATCTGCATGTTTCATTGCAGTTGTTAAGGCAATATCTGTTCTTGCACCTGGGTCAGCACTTTGGTTTCCAACTTCACCTGCAAAGTCTTTGACAGATATTTGGTGTATAGGGAACATAAGTGGAACTGCAATATATTTGGCAGCTAAAGCATTTGAAATATCTGGGTCCAACATATAGACTGCAAGTCTGCTTTCTATTCTCTTGCATTCAAATTTTTCGCATGTGAACTTAACTGGGTCCCAAGCATCTCCAGCAGCATTGAAATAATAGTTTACTTCAGTGTTGAGGTTTGAGAAACCAAAGTCTAAGTCAACTTTGTTTTTGCAAAAGTCGGCGAATGACATTTTATTTGTTCCCACTACTTCTGTAAGAGTGAATGGGTCTTGTGTTGGTGCAATGACTAAGTTATTTTTGCTTGGAGTAAGTTCGATAGAAATTTTTCCTGCCCAGTTTGGCAAGTATCTTAAAAACCTGAAGATGAGGAAAGATGACAAAGGAACTCTAAGTTTCAGTTTTACTTTGGTGACGCATTTCTGCATCTGTCCAGAAAGGTTAACATAAACTCCTGGAACGTTAGGGTCAAGTCTTCTTATTTTCTCAATAGTTGCATACTGGTCTGTTTGTTCTCTAGCTTGTGGTTGTACTGAGTTTCTCAAAGCGAACCATTCATAGTTTGCCCATGTTACTGTTTGAACTAAGTCAGAGTTAGAATATATCTTATATCCCATGAAAACTTCTGGAGCATATTGGTATCCGACATAGAAAATTCCATTGCAACCTTTCTTGTCAGACAACTTGGCAGAAGGTTTTATTTCAATGTCTTGTTCCACGTATAAGAAAGAGTTGTCAATAGAAATAATATGAAACCTGTCGCAAGCAATATCTACTGTTGTTGAAGAACCTTCTCCAAACTCACCTACGTTTCCATAAGAAACAGCAGTTGTATATTCGTAAGTTCCAGGAACTATTTCTGACCTTCTAATGGCATTGTCGCATTCGTTATACCATTCGGAAACATTTCCATTCATGGCATCCAAAACTGTTGGCGTTATATTCTGAGCGGCGTACATTTCATATGAGTAAAAATATAGAATAGTTGGATTTATATGTCATAATAGAACCCACTGGACCAAGCTTTACTTTCTTCCTGACTGAGTTTTTAACTCTTCTTTTTCCTTCATTGCCCTCTGCTTGAAGTTGTTGCATCTTTGCATTATGTTCATCTAGTATGTTGCAAATTTCCCATGTCCTTTTTGCCTTTTGGCTCTGGTCGCCCATCTCAGGTAACCTATATCCTAGAAAGAGTTTGTCATAGTCTGTATTTGAGTCTTCGCGTATTGTTTGCATGACTCTTTCCTGAGTTTCCGGTTCAAGCTCTTCAAACAGTGCTTGTCCATATGGAATAAGCTCGTTTCCAAATATATGTTTTTGTAGCCATTCTGGTTTTCTTTCCATGTTACCAACTATATCTTTTGTGAATGGGAAAGCTTTTACCCAATTTTTCAGTCTTGCGTCGTTTATTTCTGTAGTTGGTTTTATTTTGTCAAGGAACATGTTTTTCAATACTAACATTTCATTTGGTACTGTCCATTTGAGTTTTCTTAAATATTCATCCCTTCTCAGTTCATTGTCTGCAAAGTAAGTTTTTATGACATTTTGTAAACTTTCGTTTGCAAGGTCATGTACAATAGGTTCTCTTCCTTCGCTCTCCCTAACTTTCTTTCTAAACTCTTCACCAAATATACCATCTCTATGGTTCTGTGTAGTTCTTTGAGATAAATGTTCTAGAACGTCAGGTGTTATATTTCCATCAGCCATGTTCATTTCATACTGGTCCAAAATATCTGCATGTTTCATATCTTTCAATGGCATTAAAGCCGCGCTTAAAATACCAGCTATATCTCGTTCACCATTGACTTCCATTGCGTCTACAACTTCTTGGAATTGTGGTTGTAAGTTTATGAACCACCTATCTGGATTAGCTTTATGACCCCATCTCATTGTAGTTCCATCGTCTGCAGAAACAAAAGTAGGTTTGTTTCCATCTTGGTTAGGTTCTGAATGAACTTTAAACAATGTTTCATTTCTATATGTTTTCTTGAAATTTAACCTTTTATTTCACCGAGTTCATCCGAAGATTGAACGTTAAATGCTCGTAAGTAAAAAGGGTTGTTGTATTTGTGTACATTTTTTTTCAGTTCTTCCATTCTATGCTGGATATTTTCATCTGTGTTGGAGTCTTTTGTATGTCGGCAAAACATTTTTCGATATTCTTCTACTATGTCAGCCGAATTTTTTTTAGACTCTTGGAAATATTCCATATTCTCCGCATACTCTTGTTGAGGGTCAAGATTTTTCGGCTGTTCCAAATCTTCATCTAGTTCTGTGAAGTTAGTTTCCAAAGGAGGACTTGTTCGTTTCCTTCAGGCTCTTCTAGCTGTTGTTGCTGAACTATTTCTTCCATGTCTGGTTGTATCTGAACTTCTTCCTGTGGAGTTTCTTGTACCTCATCTGCTGGCATTTCATATATTCCGAGACCGTTTTCAACAATTTCCCTATCTACGTCATCCGCATTCATAAGCTTTTGTTCTTTCGTTCCGTCTCTATTTTTTACGCGTTTCATGACGAAAGTTGAATTGTCATTTAGCTCTGACATCAAATATCTCGGAGTAAATTCATCCATGTCATTTGGATGATATGCTATTAAATCATATCCCTTAGCGAGCTTGTATTTTCCAGGTTTGAGATTATATCCGTTTTGGTGCTGAGCCATAAAGCTAAATAGGTTCGGGTCAGTATTTCCATCCTTGAACTTTCAATAGCTTCTTTATATCTGTCACTAAAGTCAACAGTATCTGGGAAACCACACTCTTCTTTAAGCATTTTTAAGAATTCTTGGTTTCCTTGTTCTCTACTTCTTTTATGTCCTTGCTCTGTTTGTGGTTGTTGTTGTGCAGGGTTTTGAACTGTTGGTTGTGTGCTGGTTGTTGTGTTGGTTGTTGTGCTGGTTGTGGAGGTGGTTGTTGTGCTGGTTGTTG